TTTTTTTTTTTTTTTTTTGGGGTTGGGGGTATGCTTCTGTGTTGTGACTTGTGAGAACATCATTACACTCCAGATTTAAGATAACCTCGACAGGACTTGCAACCCCCCTTCCAGTAAAAGAACTACATACTGATATTGCAGGAAACTATGCCAGATCTGATCAGAGGATGAAACAACTATGTATCAACAGGTGAAAATTTAAGATAGAAGAGATTGAGAACAAACTATAACTTTAGTAGCATCCTACACATAAAAAACTAAAAAATGGTCATTATTCCTGTTTCCTTTTCGCAATGAAGGCTGGCAAAGGTATGCAGGACACATCTGAGCCAGAGAAATATAACATACCTCCCGAACATCCTCAAGGAAAGCTTCATGTGAACCACCGTAGGCCCCAGCATCCAACCTCATATCAATACTCCTGAAGTCCAAAGGACGAGATACCATTGCAGGATATCCAAGAAGTCCCTCGTCCTCATTATCATTCGGATTCAGAACTGTTCTTCCCAACAGATTACAAAAGACTCTTTCTTCATCTGCTGCAGCAGCACGCCGCAGCACAATACGGCATTGTTTCATGATCAAATCTGATACACTGTTGAGATTCTTCCTTTTTTCTTTCTTCTCTGGTTTGTACAGCAGAGGTTCACGACTGACATCTGCCAGCACCGAGATAACTGCTCTCTGTACAACAATTAATAGTAATAAGGGCAAAGTCCAGCACCTAGATTGATACAAAAACATCATGTCCTTAGATAAAAGCATTCCTTTTAGAGCTATGAAGATCTTTTTCCAATGCAATCATACTTTAAAAACAGCACAATATTTGTGATAATTAGGTAACAGTTTAGGGCAAAGTACAACACCTAGATTGACACAAAAACATCATGTCCTTAGATAAAAGCATTCCTTTTAGAGCTATGAGGATCTTTTTCCAATGCTACCATACTTTAAAAACAGCACAATATTTGTGATAATTAGGTAACAGTTGTATTCAAATCTCCACAAAGTTCAGATGACAAATATACAGCATTGCAGCGGTAAGTTCCTAATGTTCACAATTAATTATATATTGAATTCCAAAAAAGAATATTAGCCGGTTTCACTGGCTGTATTTTGGCCAAATTATTCAGAAGTCCAGTTAGTATAAGAAGTTTAAAAACTAAAATAGTCAATATTCAGCGTGAATTAAAAGTCTGATACAGATTCTGAACATCTCAATTTGCAGAAACTGCATCACTTGATAACATATGTTCCTCGTGCTAACTGAAGTTGATTCCTTCTACCCACTACTTTGAAAAAGTAAAGGCCAAAAATGCAAAAATACACTCAGACTAAAGGCTAAAAGATACACTTCACAACTGAGAAAAGATAAACACTGAACTTGTAGGACCAAAATTAAACAAAGCACTTCTACTTTAACTGTCACAGCACAAAGTATCTCCAAGAATACAAGTATCAGAGGTGAGCAGAAGCTTGATACAAGATGCAGAACAAAATGACTAGAAAAGAGTGAAATAAGAACACAATACCAGCAAAACCACTGGCCAGCCATAGAGATTGCACAGTGCCACTAAGTACATTCATGCATAGTTCTTTTCACTAAAACTGGCAGGTTTATGTTTTGTTTTTTGGCAATATCAACAAGACCATGAACTTGACTATATTATGCTCCTAAACAACATAAAATGTTACTTCCTTGCCCAGGAATCAGGACACTCAAACTAAAACAACAGAATAAATAACTAGGTGGTGAATTTAAAGATTGACATTATCTAAACCATGTGATTTAATGCAAGAAGCCACTCTGTATGCATACAATTGGAGTTGCCTCCATGCAAGAAACCACGTGGCATGCATACAATTGTAGAATCTGTGATTTGATGGTGGAACTGATCAGATTCCTGAAGATCACCTCAGTCAACCACAAGATATTTAATGGTTAAGCATTAAAAAAACAATTTTCTGTTTCTATAGAAACAACAAAAGAGGGCAAAAAACAATTAGTTGAATAAATTGTTTTCCTAAATGACATAACCTGTTACATACCCCTAAATCAGAAGACCCTAACTGAACACTGCAATTGACAGGCAAAGTAGTAATCTGAAACAACATCAATGTAATCCAAACCAATCTGGATTACTTTGGAAGTTGACAAAATTAAATCGAACAAATTATTCATTTACTAGGGGGAAAGCCTATTCAGCCATGCTCAATCGTAACAACTCTACATTGTTTCTCTTGTTAAGAATGCCAATGGGGAGAGTCTTTTAAGTAGGACCGTAAATGAACCAAAACTAAGCTGACTATCAGCACATTGAAGCTAAGCTCAGCACATAGGAAGTGTGCTCGAACAAGGCTCAACCCCAAACCGAACCAAAAGAACTCTGCCGTAGACCTAGTTATTTATCCAGTTGTTTTAGTTTGAGTCTCTTGATTCTTGGGCAAGGGATTAACATTTTGGCATTGACATTGCGTTGGCATGGACATTCATCAAAAGTACAAAACTTGCCATCCTCCGTATGTAATACTAATAAAAAGAGGCATGTAACTTGACTGAAACAATGAACTTTCCAACCCTATGTTTCTGAGACATGGCGCAAAGATTAGGCCTGCTCAGGCTAGAGTCCTTTTGTGTCAGGCATACAAGTCGCAAACGAGGTAAGTCTTGACCAGCCCCGACACAAACGACTTGATTCATTCGTAAGCCTATTGTTGTTGATCCCCTTCCCCAACCCCTCCGCTGCCCAGCCCCGTGCCAGGAGGTGCCCCACACATCCCCACCCTATCCTAGGTGAGAGGCCAAACCAACCCCAAGCCAATACGTAGAGACCGATGTTACAATGCGTACATTCCATTTCAAAAAAAAAAAAAAAAAGAGGGAGTGTATAACTGTGATTGTCTTGAAAAATGAAGAAAAGTAACAAAATCCTATGGACAACCAGCAAGGCAAGATCATAACATAATGCATCAAGTTGGAAAAAGGACCTATCCAGCTGTGAAGCATTCTTCAAACAATTAGACTGAAATTAATCAAATGAATAAGTGCGTGTAATAGTCTACAAAAGTTAAAACCTATCTATCTATATATATAAACAAAAAACTAGAGGGGAGAAGGCTTGAGAAGTCTTCCCTACTCGTTTCTTAAATTCTTAAGAGTTTGACTATCTTCAAACACATTTCACCATGTATCCTATGTAACCACTCCCCACTAACTAACCACTACTTTTTCAAATTTGAACTAATAATTTATTATTATTTCTTTGTCTAACTTCTTAAATGATAACGTGAAAGAAGAGGAATGGTTAAAATGAATTTAAAAAATGATGAAATATATATCTTGTGCATCGCACGCGGCATGCAACAATATATCTAAGATCACACACAAGGCCTAGAAAATAATTGGGCAAACCCACATGATCAAATCACATCGATCTTATCAATAAATGAACTACAACATTGAAGACTGACCTAATGCTAGATCTATCCATATGATCTATAGACGTTAAAGGATTGATGATGACAGAAAATATATGATGGAGGGTTGTGAACCTTGGGATGGAAGTGAATGATGTGTATGCGAGTGTGGGGGTGTGTGTGTCGGTGGGTGGCTGAGAGAGAGAGACTGCTCAGCGTACAATCGTAAAACAAAGTCAACTAAATAGTTTGGATAGACTAGGAAACTAACTAGATGAGTATTTCGAATATACAATCCATAAACGAGAATGGATGGGGAAGATTTGCCCTATCCAAATCCAGATCCAAACCTGGTCTAATTTTAATGTCTCCAAGCTCCCACCCCACCCCCACTCACCCAAAAAAAAAAAAAAGAGAGAGAGACAGAGCAGTGCATGCGACTGTGAAGTCTGGTTAAATTGCCATCTCTGGAAACGTATCCACGGAGTAGGGCTTTGAATAAATATTCAACTGCCTGTAACTGGCTTTCTCTTACAGATGGATGAGATATAGGTGCTTAAGGAAAAAAAGATAATTATGATATCTCAGCAAAATTTTCACCAAAAGTTTTTAAAAAAACACAAAGATGCACCTTAGTAGGGCCTGATGCATTTCCTTTGTAAACTCCCTTGCTGATGGAATGTTCCAACATCTTCTTAGCCCATTCAGGTGGATTTCTATCTAGAGCTTCGTAGACGCACTTCCTGATTCTAGCTCCCACATTCGTGGGTAGCTTTCTTACAGGTTCTAGCACCTGTGCCCACTCAGGAACGTCCCTGTCATTCACCTTTATCACTTTGGAAGCACCCACTGCATTGGACTCCTTATCGATGCTAGAAACGTCATTTTTATTCTTCATTGAACCAAAAATATGCTTCATAGCCTCTGCAAGAAGCTGAGAATCACATAAATTGGAGCATCTTTATTCTACTAGAGTCAAATAACAAAGATACCCAAAAAAAAAAAAAAGNGGAGAAGGCTTGAGAAGTCTTCCCTACTCGTTTCTTAAATTCTTAAGAGTTTGACTATCTTCAAACACATTTCACCATGTATCCTATGTAACCACTCCCCACTAACTAACCACTACTTTTTCAAATTTGAACTAATAATTTATTATTATTTCTTTGTCTAACTTCTTAAATGATAACGTGAAAGAAGAGGAATGGTTAAAATGAATTTAAAAAATGATGAAATATATATCTTGTGCATCGCACGCGGCATGCAACAATATATCTAAGATCACACACAAGGCCTAGAAAATAATTGGGCAAACCCACATGATCAAATCACATCGATCTTATCAATAAATGAACTACAACATTGAAGACTGACCTAATGCTAGATCTATCCATATGATCTATAGACGTTAAAGGATTGATGATGACAGAAAATATATGATGGAGGGTTGTGAACCTTGGGATGGAAGTGAATGATGTGTATGCGAGTGTGGGGGTGTGTGTGTCGGTGGGTGGCTGAGAGAGAGAGACTGCTCAGCGTACAATCGTAAAACAAAGTCAACTAAATAGTTTGGATAGACTAGGAAACTAACTAGATGAGTATTTCGAATATACAATCCATAAACGAGAATGGATGGGGAAGATTTGCCCTATCCAAATCCAGATCCAAACCTGGTCTAATTTTAATGTCTCCAAGCTCCCACCCCACCCCCACTCACCCAAAAAAAAAAAAAAGAGAGAGAGACAGAGCAGTGCATGCGACTGTGAAGTCTGGTTAAATTGCCATCTCTGGAAACGTATCCACGGAGTAGGGCTTTGAATAAATATTCAACTGCCTGTAACTGGCTTTCTCTTACAGATGGATGAGATATAGGTGCTTAAGGAAAAAAAGATAATTATGATATCTCAGCAAAATTTTCACCAAAAGTTTTTAAAAAAACACAAAGATGCACCTTAGTAGGGCCTGATGCATTTCCTTTGTAAACTCCCTTGCTGATGGAATGTTCCAACATCTTCTTAGCCCATTCAGGTGGATTTCTATCTAGAGCTTCGTAGACGCACTTCCTGATTCTAGCTCCCACATTCGTGGGTAGCTTTCTTACAGGTTCTAGCACCTGTGCCCACTCAGGAACGTCCCTGTCATTCACCTTTATCACTTTGGAAGCACCCACTGCATTGGACTCCTTATCGATGCTAGAAACGTCATTTTTATTCTTCATTGAACCAAAAATATGCTTCATAGCCTCTGCAAGAAGCTGAGAATCACATAAATTGGAGCATCTTTATTCTACTAGAGTCAAATAACAAAGATACCCAAAAAAAAAAAAAAGAATAGTTCTACTGGATAACATATTTGCACTGTTGGTCAGATAGAAGTTTTACAAGAGAAAATGGCATATATTATACAGGTTACCGATAAGTAAAAATCATCAGGCTACTCCATTTTCTTGTATGTAAGCTTATTTGTTCGAAATATCAAAAGTATCCAATTTGTACTGCTAGTAATGCATGTGTCAATAAATATTATGGAGCAAAAAAAACTCATGCATATATAGTCTTACTTAGCGGACCACAAGGGGTAACAAAACATTTCCCTATTTTGGAATGGGACACGCCTATGTCAATTGCATATGATTTCACACTGAATTTGTTTGAAATAAAGAACTTAAGTTGTTTTATACATCCACCGGAAAAAACTCACGAGAGATATATCCTAAGTACGTTGCCGGTGGAAGAAGTATTACAAAGCTTATTAACATGGAATCAAATATATTATGCAAGTCAAGGTCATTACCAAACTCAATCAGAACAAAATAATTTTCCGTGTTCCAAATTTAAGTCCCAGAACTAACATTGAGCCTAGTGAAGTCCAGTGCAGTTGAGCTCTAGACTGGTAATCCTTTACTTCCAACACAATCTAATGAGAGATAAATATACTAAAAGCCCAAGGCTGTCCCAAATTGAGGGTACAGAATCTCATTAGATCCCTAGTTCAAAAGTCACAACCACAATCCAGCGATTCAAATTACGCACCATGACATCCAATCCAGCTGCATTTGTTCTCCACTCAAGTTGAATACAAATCTTCTCACTTAAGGATGCAATCTTTGCTAAAAATGAAGAACATAATCACAAACTAGGGATACTGATATGGTTATGGCAATAAGTGATGACAATGAGAAGCGAGAACAAAATGATTTAGCCAACAGCCACAAAAAATATTTTAGTTTTGTATACCACTCTTGTAGCATGAAATTTTATCTTCTATAACCTCAACAACCTAAGCAATTCACGTCATATAGCAGACTAAGGGAATAAGAATCAAGCTTACCAGTGCATCTGCCTCCATTGCAACCACTCCCGTGGGAGAACCACACAGTGTCCCACCATCACCTTGCAAGCAGTGAAACACTTTTCCGCTCTCACGGCAAGTGATTTCTGAGGAATCAAGGTTACCTTCCATGGACAACACAGCTAAAATATATCTCCGAGCTAATTCAGGCCAAGTAAGTTCATTAACAGGGAGAATGTAGGGCTTTGGTTTAACCAAGTTGTCTCCATCTTTCTTCCTACCTCGTTTTGACTTAGGCTCTCCAGCATCAAAGTTAGGATCTACATAAGCTGCAACCTTTGAAAGCAATTCACCTAGAAGGACTTTCAGCAAGGAGCTGTGAGTCTTTGTCAATGCTGCACCAGTACATTTGCTGCGAGGATGGTAAGCAACTCTAGCTTGGACAACTTCCACCGTAAATTCTCCACTGTCCTGAATTTCATTTCCAGTCTTTCCTATTGAATTTGAGCTGTCTACCCATGGATTTATGAGTTCATATTCAAGCTCACGCAAAGAAATGGGCTCCTCCAGCCCTATAACCTCTGAGAAACGATGTAAGAAATCCGACGCCTAAAGATATAAGGAAGAAACATGAGTATATGGAAAGAATTTGATAATTGTTTCCAATTTCAATTTTCAGAATTTCATATACCTGGAGAACATCACCAACTAAATATGCGGGAAGCTTTGAGCTTAGTGGCTTGCCCAAAGGATAGGAATCTCTCATTTGAGAGCCTTCAAATACCTGCTTCCTTGGTCTTTTATAAGCACTGAAGAAAATATCTGATTCTTCTTCAACTTGTTGGTCACTCTTCCTTTTGGCCAGAAGGTACCCGCTTCCAACTGTTTGTAATGTGGAATTAACCCTTCTTCTATTCAGAGATTTATATTCTGAACAGGCATCAACCCCAGGAAGCTGTTCTATGATTTCTTGTACAAATTCCACATCTAGTCCAACTCTGTCCTGGTGCAACCATTTTGCCAGCATTTCACAAATAGCATCAAACTCAGTATCGCTCTGAATTAAATGCGGAATGTTGACAGGGCCAGTAAAATAGCAAAACTTGGACAATGAACCAAAAGTGCCTGTAGCTTCAACATTCATCCTATTTACATCATGCTTGCAGCAAAACTGAAGTACCCCTCTTTGCTTGTATGACTCACGGCAAGCATTCAGAAAAGTTTGGGAGATCATTTCCCATGCAGATGATGGTGATCTCCCTTCCACTAAATATTTGCCGATACTATCACCTAGTCCTGGGTTATCTAAATTGATGTTTCCGGAACTTCGACTAAGGAAATCAGCATCTGTTGTCAACCGATCTGCTTCTTGAAAGTCAAAATCTTCATTTCCTCTCTCCATAGAACATAATGATATATCATCATCCAAATGTGGTGGGTTATGTTCTGTTAGCATCAATTCAATTGCTGTATTATCATCATCAACCATTCCAAAAATGGCCGAATCATCTTTCCACTCTTTGCCTTCCCGATCCAATGAGCCAGATGTCATTGACAGGACTGTTGAACCATTAGGAATGGACCATGTGGAGCATGGACATCTTTGGACTTTAAAAATTGGGCCAGAATCACCACCATCTGAAACATCACATACAAAAAGGGACCCCGTGACCTTATCATGCCAGCTAGATCTGTAACCTATAGGCCAGATCTGGCCTGAGTTATGGTATGATGGCCGTGGATCAACCTTTCCCACAGAAATAAGAAAAAAGTCTTCAAACTGAACAGGGAAGCCATCCTGGAAAGACAATTGAAGTAAACATCAGGAAGAGCAAGCTAAAGAAATTAAAGCCTTGGGTCAAACTTATCTGCTATAAACATGATAACAGAGGAAATATATCTGCCCTTTCGGGGGAGGGAGAGTAAGAAGAGCGAGAGAGTGGAGAAGTAAATAAAGATAGATGTTTTGTTCGGGGAGGGGGAGGGGAGTCAAGCCTTGAACATACCTTTACATAATTATGTCCAGATCCACAGCCACCAGTTTCTATCAAGTCAAGTTCCACAGCATTTCTGCTATCATTACATTTGCTGGCCTGAGTATCCATCATATCCAAGACTGGAGAAAAGCCTCTACCCAAACTGCTCCTTGGAATATCTTGAGTTTGCCTGTAACTATTGGCTCCCAAATACCTGAAAGATTCCTTCCTTCTTCGGTAAAATTGTGCTCCTTTCTGGGCTAAAGCATATCCCTTAACTCCGTCTTCAGTTTCCAAAGAATGGCAGTTAGATATCAGTCCAAGATGATGAGCAACATCAGACATAGATTCAAACCTACTTCCATCTGGAGCATAGTAAACTGCAAATGTTTTGCATTGGTTCTGGAAATAACTAAATTCCACGTGCCAACCGTCATCTAATACACCTTTCTTTTCAAGTATATATTCTCTAAGACCTTGTAAGTACACTTCTCTCTGACTCTGGGTATAAAAATTCAGTGGTGTACAATGACTAGAATCGGTATCAAAATGTAGCCTGGTATGCACTGTACTTTCAAAACCTGATTTAGCAATATGTGAAGCACTGCAAGAAGACTTCTGAAGTTCAAAACCGTTTACCCTATATAACAAATTTGAGTAGCCCATCGGAGCATTAGATGAATGGCCAAAAAAGGAAGCATCAAGCACAGCCTGCGTTCTACAAACCAATAGACATAAAAGCATAAGTAATACGTTTACAATAAATGAGACTTCAATAATATTCCCTATCAGTCACATAACCTTTTTTACCAAGACCAGGATCATGTACTTCTCAACATGATATAATGGACTCCCATACATCCCATGATTGCAGTATGAGGCATTTCTAAATGCAAGGATCTTGTTTTTTCAATTCATATTTCAACCCAGCATATAAAAATCACATATGGTATAAAATTTTGTGGTAACCAAGTAAATAAACCATACAATTTAGCATATCTGCATATTTCAAGCACTTGGCGCGACAGTTCACAGCCAAAAAATACAGCAGAATCAACTTTTTGGGATCCTAAAAACTAATGGCTTCAAAAGTAACAGAAACTGCATATTGGGAACCCGCAAGAGCACTGAGGCTTTACCATCTTCTACAATCGAACAACTTTGCATGAGTTCTCTTTATGTAGAAAACTTCAATTAGTAACCCCTGATACAAATAGAGCCAGAAGGTTTTGTATCTGTCTACACAGAGGATATTTAATTTGTTACCAATGCAAATACTATGGACCATGGAGTGCCATTAGGTACAAGACAGTCTATCCCAATTAGATACTAAAAAATACACTTTAATGTGCACATCATCCTCCAACTTACTTAGAGATGACGTTGGGACAAGGTGGCATGAAGCATACACAAATTTCAAATCTCAAGCCAGATCAGGGTCAACATGTTAGTGCATCAGAAGTATTCAGAACAAGGAACACAAAAATCAAGTTTGCAAGCACAGACACCCATGTGAATTCAGGTTTTTCTAGGATGTCCACAAAAGACAACAAATTAAGATCTTGAATTAAAGATGTCTTGTGTTACTTTTCATTCTCATTAATAATAAGCTTGACTAGTGGTTTTCAAAAACCTATAGGTACTTTATAAAGGGACGTTTAACTCCTTTTTCTCTTTATGTTGGCAATGGACTTGCTCTGAAGGGTCATGCAATTATCATGCCTACTGAGGCAATTTAATAAATCAAGGAGTTTAGGGTAGTCAATGACCGAATTGATCTCATTCCTTCCTTCCTCGAGCATGGATTAACATCTCTTTAGGAAGTTTTGACATTTGCATCTCTTGATCATGGCAACACTTCCAAAAAATTTTTACCACTAGTGATTGGAAATGTACCACATTTTATTGGCAATAAAAAGCCGCCAACTCTTAAGGTGGCAAACTTACCTCAAACTAATGTACTTTAGCCAAGGTTCCTATTTACTTTCTTTATATAATCCTCATCCTTGTGGCCTCTAGACATGATAATTGAAACTTGATAACTTCGAGGATAAAAAAAAATAAGGTCAGGAAAAAAGAAAAAGAAATAAGAGCACTTAGACAACTAAATTTCTAAGAAGCATAGACACGAACACAGGACACTGATACGATACGACACGACACGACACGGACACGACATTTCTAAAAATATAGGATATGCACATGTTGGGGACACACTACAAAAATATAATTTTATATATAACACAAGATAATTTATTGCAAATATAGTGATAATGATATACAATTCATAAAAGATTCAGTATTTTATAATAAGAAAATCTTATGTCTAGTCATACTGTGTGAATTTTTAGACTAAAACATCCTCATAATAGTCAATAATCATCAATTTTTTTATTTTTTTTTAGACAATGTATACATAATATATAATTTAAATAATTGTTCTCATTTTTTCAATTTCTCTCTTTTAAAAATTTTATGCATCTTTTGTTTTTATTATTATATTTGGAGTATAACTTTAATATGTCTAATATTAGTAATTATATATTCTCAAATTTTTAAACTTTGTTAATTATATTTCAACACATGTTTATTGTTTAGTAATAGACACATTCTAAAGAAGTGTCGGACACGTGTCTGAAATTAAAATTTTATCGTTTAATTATGAAAACGGATAAAAGAGTATCAAACACGTGTCCGAGAGTGTCTGAAGAGTGTCGGTGTACGACACGGATATGTCACCTTCTCGAGAGTGTCCATACTTTATAACTAATACTATAAGTCCTTCCAACAATAAAAAGGAAACCTGGAAAACTAGTTTCCCTTTTGACATCTGTATGTGTAGCAAATGCGTGAACTTTGCGCATTTACTCATTATTTGCACTAGAGATTTCTTCCTCCATGGAAAGAATAGGTGTTAGATTCTCTTCTTACCCCTTTCATATTGGAAAAACATTTATATAGGCATGAAGAGAAAAGATTATTTGGAGATCAATCCTTTTGCTAATTTATCTTTCTTTAACTTGAGAGACAAACATTGGATTCTTCCTAGGAATTACGTCATTCATGCAACCACAGTTAAATTCACTATATATCCTCGAATCATGGACTTCATTGACATCGTAGACACTAGTTTGTCTTTTATTTTCCTTTTTCCAACCTACACTATTGGCCTACTAGTAAGAGGCACTACCTCCCCTCCAACATTTCATTTATCAAGGGCGACATTGAGAACCCACTAAAGTATCCAACAAAATGAAGAAGCGCGTGTACATTAGAGGCATAAAATGGAGGCTTGCATATACAGAGCAAGTCCATAGCGATAATTTTTCCCAAAAAAATGTCTTAGAGAATCTAAAGGCCCCAGCAATAAATCACTAGGCCAAAAGCCAAAAAAAAAAAAAAGAAGAAGATTATGCATAAAAAAATTCAGGTTATGAATGGGAAGCTCAACCACTCGAAATTTCCCATTTTCTCTAATTAAAAGATCCAACTCAAGTAAAGAGGAGCCACATCTGAACTCTTCAGAACTTCCAACAACTATTTTTTATATCATCTCCCCCACAACTGAGGGTGGGCTTTCATGCACGGATTGTAACCAGGGGATCAATGATTCGAGTCGCAAAAACAGTATCTCCACATGCAAGAGTAAAGACCCAGTGGCGGGAGACTTGTGCCCAAGCCGACATTTCATTAGTTTTCCAACATCTAATTTCAATTAGAAACCTTCTCCAACAACTAGCATTGATGTGAACACCTCTCCAACAACTAAAATGGCCTTAATGGGGCTTAGCATCACCAAAATCATTCCAAAGAAGGTACATAGTAAAGGCAAATATTCCCTTGCTACATTAAAATGCAAGAAAAGATGTGTGACAAACTCTACCAGCATTTTTCACATAAAAGCTTTGTAATTGTGGTAGACATGAACTGCGGGAATAATGGTCAGCGAGGCGTCACAACAACGAGGCCAAATGGTAAAGAAGATAGTTAATCAGTTCCGATGAGTGGCTGTTAAAATGGAATTAGAAGATAGAGGCAATGGTTGATTATGTTGTAGAGTAAACTTTAGGATGAAGTAATTCAATGAAGAAGATTAGGTTAAGATGAAAACAGAGACCTTCCTGTGGTGATTCCAGTGTTTCGGAATGTTTTGGAATAATTTTGTCCCATTTTTATTTTTATTTCTGAAATGTTTCCAAAACATTTTTGTTTCTTAGGTAACCAAAACAACGCACCGAAACAACATTTTGATCCCTCCTCTCTCCATTAGAATGGTTAACTAGATCGATTGGATGAGGAGATTTTATGATTATAATTAGTGATTTATGGTGGAGAAGGGGGAAGCAGTGATCCTTCTATGGTTGGAAGAGTCAGTGATGACTTGAGGTGGATTGTGGTAAAGTTGGCGAAGCATGTTCCTTAGGCTGAGTGAGGATGGAGATGACATTATGCTTCAAGGACATTATGATTGAGGAAACTAGGAAAAAATTGAGAATCATTTGAACTTATGACCAGTTCAAACAGTTCACCATGTTGATCCAACTGGTTCAAACAAACACACAATGTAAACATTTTTGAAAGATAATAATTCGCGGATTTGCAATACTATTAAACTATAAATGTTTTCCTTCCATCTAGTTTAGTTGTTGGTTTGGGAAAAAATTTGTCCGTGTTTACTGTTTCCTTTCGTCGTCCATTATGCAATCCAATTCCACACTGGAAACATCTGTTTTCAATGCAGGTCAATTGGGCAGTAAAGGCATCTCGAGGAATGAAAGCTTCATAGTTTGTTTCCTATCCCTCTCCAGAACCTTGATATTCCATCAAGGCTGAGCATATACCATTGTCTTTGCCTCTTTGGCTCTTTGGGAAGTAAAAAAAAAGGAGGGTTCAAAATTCAACCGAACGGTCATAACTCTTAGCTAAGCATGCTGCATAAACTCTGGTGGAGCATAAGGAATGTTCTTATCATCCTTTAAGATTTTTTTTTCTTCTTAACCTCACCCTTTTAGTATTCCTTCCCCAAAATTTCCTGACCTTTGTATTGTATCTCTGCATATTGCATTAGGATTCATTTATATGCTGATTTTTCAGTAAGTAGTTACGACACCATCAGAAAGTATTCACCAAGTATGCATCCGGAGCTGTTGGACGAATTAAAATGTTATTAAATGCAGTACATGGGAGCATATGGATTTAGCCACATGATTATAACGACAAAAATAGACCAAACTAAATAGTATTTTACAACATGCATTGTCCCATTAAACATTCACCATTTCAACAAAAACAAAAACAAAACCGAAAAAAAAAAATGAACCTCAGCTTACTCAGCATATAATAAAGCAGAAAATGCTAAATTTTGCTAAATTTAACTTCATACACAACAAGCATTGTCCAACTAAACATTTATACGAAACAAAAAAGGTAAAGAAAAAAATAAAATTCATACTTGCCACCACTTCGCCCTCTATCTCCTTGCCCCGAGCTCTCCAGCTCCGCGAAGATGCCTTCTCCGTCCCCATCCTCTCGTGGCGGCGAGGCATTGATGTCCAAAAACCCAACACCACCACCTCGATTTCTCTCACTTCCATTGTTCGACAAACATCTAGAGCATTTCCACTCGCTGTGCCCTTCCCTTGACCCCAAACAATTCACATGAAACCGTCTCTCACACTCAAAACACGCTAACATGCCCCCTTCCACCTCAGAACCTTTCCCGCACGACCCGCAGAAAAGCTCCCCGCATGGACCCCCTTTTTCCGCTTCCAGCTGCACCACAATGACTTCATTTCCAGCTAGGGTTTCACGAGGTGAGGGCAAAGGGATTTCGTTGAGATCGATTTCGAATGGCTTGGAACGACTCTCAAATTGCACATTTTTGACTTGATTAGCCACATTTTCGTTGTCCATGCTTAAAACTGTGGTTCTGTACACCAATTCCACTCGATTTTCAGAAGATGAAGAAGCATTCTACGATTTGCCTGTGTAAGCGCGTTTATATGAAGTATAAGCCTGTCTGTGTGTGTAAGTAAGTGAGATAGAGAGAAAGGTTGGGTCTTTTGGGGGTTTGATCGGAGGATTGAGGTTGAAGAAGAAGATTGAGCTGAGGAAAATGGTCGCGTTTCACCGACTGGTTTTGATTCGTCACGTATGTCTGTGTGTGTGTGAGAGAGAGAGAGAGAGTAGCAAAGGACTGAGAGAGGACCAAATCGAAAGTTGAAAGTAGAAACAAACTCTTTTGTATGGAAGCGAAGACGAAGCCTGGAGCGCTGGTTTGGGGTTTGGGGAGAGTCTCGAGAATTGCGAAAGAGCATTTCGTTCGTTTGTGACGAAATGACGGGATTGCCCCCCTTAGGTTTATGGCTTAATTTAATTTAGATAATCATGGTTAGATTCTTTAGAAATAACTTCTATTTCATGTTTTATTTTAATAATGATTAAATTATCTGGTATAACATTGAATCTACTCTAGCAGGATAAATTTTGAACATCTATAATTATAGGGTTGTTCACCCGATCTGTCAGGGTAATAAAAAAATACATTCTATCTCTCTGAACCGATAAATTACAAAAATCTAATTTATTGAATAACTTATCCAATCAAGAGTAATATTAAGCCAAATATTACCTAAAAAATTAGTTCAAAAGTCAAAATATTGTAGAATTTGAAATATTCAAGATATATTTTGAATTAATGAAAACTGTCAACTTGGACAGTTTGTAATTATTAATAAAGTTTTAAAATAACCGTAAATTTTTGTAAAATTAGAGGCAAACTACACTCTTAATTTTAGCATGTCTTGAAGATTTTGAGCAAAAAAATGTGAATGGTTTTTTGTAACTTTACATTGAATATTAATAAATCCAAAGAATAAATAATTTTACTTACAACTAATAATGATAAATGATCAGATTTAAGATTGTGTAAAAAGAAGTGTCTTCCAAATAACTTTGTAGGTTCCAAATTAAGTAATGGTGGATAGTTTTGTCTTTTCACACGGAAAAGATATAATAGCTTGGCGTGAAAGAAGATTTTGGTCATTTATGCTAAAAAGCAGGGTCAAAGTTCAGGAAATTAAAGTGAGGGTAAATGTGTCATTTGGTATTCTTTGTCGGAGATGGGAAGGTAAGGCTTGATCGGCATGCCTGACTTGTGTCCGCAAATGGTTCCCGTGCCAACATTACTTTTACAGATTGCGGATTCGCACAGTCCCGCACGTCTCTCTCTCTCTCTCTCTCTCTCTCTCTCTCTCTCTCTCTCAGCGTAACGGTTATGTAACGATTACACTACCTTATCATGTTAGCAATGACAGAATTATAAAGAGACCAATGGGGCCGTGGCCCCTCATATTTTCAAAATTACTCCATTTACCGTTTTAGGTGCATTGCTCTTTTTAGAATTCTATAGGTCCTTTTAGGCTTTCAAAAACTACTTTTTTGTATAAAAAAATATCCCATTAGTGTATTCCAATAAGAATAATAGCATGACATTAAACATTTACTAACCAAACGGGAGATATTAGTCACCTGGACGGGTAACTTCTTATAGAAGAAAATATTTGGTTAGACAAATTTGACGATCAAAATGTGCTATCAAATCAAGGTATAAGCGTGATTTTATATCGTCAATAATGCACTGACCCACAACTGATATTTTTCAATGATAAGTTAAAAATAGTTTTTGCATTTTACAAACTAAGTTTTTGTGATAGTATTTCATAGGTAAAACTATAATACTAATAACAACGTGTCGAATGACATAATTTCATTAACTTATTAATTGTGTCACTCCCGACATATTAATATATTCTAACTGTTTAATAATAAGATAATATGTGCACAAGTAAAATAATTACTATAAACTTCATTATCTTACATGAAAATAATTACTATATATTACATAAATGAGTGATTAATGAATTCGCTTGCTCATTTATTTGCTTATAATAAATGGTTTGACATTACTTACCTTGTGTAAATATGCCATTGAATATTTCTCTCTCTCTTCTTCCCGACAAGAACCATAGTAGAAGATGCTCATGCTTCGAGCTTTCAAGTACACACATGCTGTTCAGCTCTCATTGCGAAAGGTACACGCATCATTACACTGGCTCATGGTAAACCACTGTTAGGAGAAAAGGTAAAATTACAGCCACCTCCCCCAAAGTTTATTCAAATAACAGTAAGACCCCCTGTATATGAATAATAACACGTCACTTCGATATCAATAGGGATATTAAAATATAACACCACACAAAATTAGAGAATTTTGGTGTTACTTAAGCCACTTGTTTACAAAACGAATGGACTCGACATGATTAATAAATTAATAGATTATGGTTGAAACTAATCAAAAGTAATATAAGATACGACTCAATTATATAATGATTATACATGGCCCGAACCTAATATGACAAAGTTCGTTAGACAAAAATTAATAAAAAAATCAAGTATTGGTGAAGTGTTTTTTAACTCGTAACAAAGAAGACCCAATATTATTAACAAACTTAGTTGTCAATCATTTCCATCTCTATTATTAGATTATTAGAGATAACTTAGGCTTAAAGGTATAGTGTAATGTGAATAATTTTGAGAGAGATGATAATGACTATTGGATGAATCTATTTGAGACCATTCGATTGACTGATTAAAACATGTTTTNTACATGGCCCGAACCTAATATGACAAAGTTCGTTAGACAAAAATTAATAAAAAAATTAAGTATTGGTGAAGTGTTTTTTAACTCGTAACAAAGAAGACCCAATATTATTAAAAAACTTAGTTGTCAATCATTTCCATCTCTGTTATTAGATTATTAGAGATAACTTAGGCTTAAAGGTATAGTGTAATGTGAATAGTTTTGAGAGAGATGATGATGACTATTGGATGAATCTATTTGAGACCATTCGATTGACTGATTAAAACATGTTCTGTTTTATATTATAAATTTTAGTTTAAGTATCTTACAGAATTTTAGTTTAAATATCTTGGCGTTGAGAGGGTAGTTTTTGAAATTTTTTCAGTGATTTCTTCCTTGTTTTATGACGGTGATTATATAAGTTAGGTAGAATTTAACATAGATTTTTTGAAATTTGTCGTTTAATCACTTAGATCTCATGATATTTCAAAAAATTACACACAGACTCCTTAAGTTTGTATACACATAATATTTAGACCTCTCGTCAATGTCCATTCGAATATTCGTTAATAAATTATACTCAGATCCCCNTTTTCAGTGATTTCTTCCTTGTTTTATGACGGTGATTATATAAGTTAGGTAGAATTGAACATAGACTTTTTGAAATTTGTCGCTTAATCACTTAGATTTCATGATATTTCAAAAAATTACACACAGACTCCTTAAGTTTGTATACACATAATATTTAGACCTCTCATCAATGTCCATTCGAATATCCGTTAATAAATTATACTCAGATTCTCTAAAATTTGTATGCGTGTAATATTTAGACCACTCAAATTTAAAATTTTATATTTAGACAAAAAATAATCCAATTAAAAATAAAATATTAAATATTTTAAATTTTATAACCAAAATTCGTATTCTATAATGTCATTTATTAAAATAAAATCAAAAATAAAAATCTATTTTTTTTTAAATCATAATTAGTATGCAATTATACGATTTATTAATCTACCAAATTACTCCTATTAAATATAAAAGATATTGTGTCTATTACAGTTTGACTTTTTCAAGTTTAAAATATNAAAAATCTATTTTTTTTTAAATCATAATTAGTATGCAATTATACGATTTATTAATCGACCAAATTACTCCTATTAAATATAAAAGATATTGTGTCTATTACAGTTTGACTTTTTCAAGTTTAAAATATCATACTAGACAAAAAATACTCAAATAAAAATATTAAAAATTTTACATCCAAAATTCATGTTATATTATGTTATTTATTGATATAAAATTAAAAATAAAATTTTAATTTTTTCTTTAAAAAATTATAATTAGTATAGAATTATACCAAACTACCCCAATGAAAGATAAAAGTTATTGTATCTATTATAGTTTGAACCCTTATTTATTTTTTTAATTTTGTTTCAATAAATGGTATAATTGTATACTAATTATGAATTTTTTATAAAAAAATAAATAAATTATTTTATACCAATAAATGACAAAACCGAACATGAATTTTGGTNCAAAATTCATGTTATATTATGTTATTTATTGATATAAAATTAAAAATAAAATTTTATTTTTTTCTTTAAAAAATTATAATTAGTATAGAATTATACCAAACTACCCCAATGAAAGATAAAAGTTATTGTATCTATTACAGTTTGAACTCTTATTTATTTTTTTAATTTTTTTTCAATAAATAGTATAATTGTACACTAATTATGAATTTTTTATAAAAAAAAAATTAATTATTTTATACCAATAAATGACAAAATCGAACATGAATTTTGATTATAAAATTTAAAATATTTAATATTCTATTTTTTATTAGAATATTTTTTGTCTAAATATAACATTTTAAATTTGAGTAGCCTAAATATTATATGCATAAAAATTTCAATGAGACTGGGTGTAATTTACTAATAGATATTTTAACTGACATTGAAGACAAGGGTCTAAGTGTTACGCGCGTACAAATTTTAGAGAATTTGTATGTAATATTTTAAATATCAGGAANTTAATATTCTATTTTTTATTAGAATATTTTTTGTCTAAATATAACATTTTAAATTTAAGTAGTCTAAATATTATATGCATAAAAATTTCAATGAGTCTGGGTGTAATTTACTAATAGATATTTTAACTGACATTGAAGACAAGGGTCTAAGTGTTACGCGTACAAATTTTAGAGAATCTGTATGTAATATTTTAAATATCAGGAATCTAAGTAATTAAGTAACAAACCTAGAGGGTCAAGATGTAATTCTCCCTATTACTTATTAATAGGACCAATACTTTTCATCCAGTGCCTTTTTTTTGGTAGATCACTGTCACGTTAGTAAGTTCCAAACACTCACGAGACTTCCAAGAAGCATAAAGCATAAAGCATCAACGCAAGCATTATACCGGCGTGCGCCTTGTGAGATTGGCAAACCAGTCTATTTTTCTCCTACAAGAAACACCAACTCCAACCCCCCCACCACAACCCAACAATCTTCTATAAAAGGGTTCAAGGGTNCGTTAGTAAGTTCCAAACACTCACGAGACTTCCAAGAAGCATAAAGCATAAAGCATAAAGCATCAACGCAAGCATTATACCGGCATGCGCCTTGTGAGATTGGCGAACCAGTCTATTTTTCTCCTACAAGAAACACCAACTCCAACCCCCCCACCACAACCCAACAATCTTCTATAAAAGGGTTCAAGGGTGTGGGTGATCCACCTATATGTACTATGAAGGTGTGGAGCCAAGAGTTTCGAGGTTAAAATTATTCTATTTTGACTTAGGTATCACAAGTTTAAAATACGGTAATAACATCTCCACATAGAAGACAAAATAACTATATAAAACCCTCATAAAACTGACGTTTGTTTGTCTATTCATATAGTGTTCTCAAGTGAGCATATGCTAACCTTCAATTATGCGAGATTAATTATCATTAATGACTGATATATACTTGCCATAATTAGGGATACATGCATGTTTATGAAAGAACTTTTCCAAGAGGGTCGGCTATTTGAGCATATTAACTGTAATAAATAATAATAAACTCTACATAAAGGCTAACTCCCCAAAAAAGGTTCATTGAAGGATGAAGATTTGCTAATCAATCTTCTACTTGGTGGATGCTCGAGAACTGAATCATTAGTCTCTTAACTCTATATATTGAGTTAAATAGGTCACATTCATTTCCATATTTACATGGAGCAAAGAAAGAAAGATGGCTTAAATTTTACAGCAAGACGGATAAGTTTCCATTGAGTACTAGCTTTTCTTGATGATAGATTATTCACAATCACGCGTGTATTCGTGGGGTATACTCATAAGTCATAATTATAGTTAATCTCGATTGGATTCATATATATCTAACGTATTGAAATAGGACAGAATCCAAATAGGATAGTAAGAAATACATGAAGGCTCCAAAGATGCACATCAGCTTGGCTCCAAAGTTCCAAACACATTATTGTACCAACAGCAAAGCTCAAACAAAGACAGACCCACCAGGTGAAAAAAGAAAAGCATGCCTTTGAATAATCTTCCTGAATTCTACAGGGCAGAGGGACAGTCATCTTCAGTGGAAAACATCGATAGGGACATATTGAGCTGTGGCATTGAAAAGCTAACTAGTGGAGGTGGAGGTTGCTCTGACTATTCGGTTATGGATGTTGGTTATATGCTCAGAAATAGATAGAGAAGTTTAAATGATGATTGTAAGCTTTTAAGGTTGAATGGAAAATTTGATTACAGTGCTTGATTGGGAGGAGGATAGAGATGGGTGTATCATCAAAAAACAGCAAAAAATCAGTGAAGGTAGAAGGCAGACAGTTGTAGATTTGCAATGCTGGTGTCATCGATAAGTTGAAGAATTAAAGACGAGAAATGGATCCAAGCAATTTATAAATGCATTGGAGACCAAAGTTTTCCTTCAGGTGCATCTGTATCAGGATCACACCCTTCTGAATTATGTTTTCTCTCTTTGTTACTTCACAAATTTAGCACACCCTTATATTAGTAGTCCTAGTTCTACTTGGTTCTAATCAATCTGGCATCTTCTGAAGATGATCAAGGAGGCAAAGTTGACAGGCAATGGTGATTCTGACCGAGAACAATCATCTGTCTGTATATATTAGAATGATCATGCCTATATTAGTTTAGAGTAACTCCACTGCAGTTCTAGTCCTTTGCTTTGCATACTTGTCTTATTTTGGGTATATTTTGTGATGATTGCAGCGTTGCAGGTCCATGGATTGTAATTCGAGGTCTAGCAGTGATGACAGTAATAAGTAATAGCAGTCATGGATCTTCTTAGGAATAAAAATTCAAACAAAACTCCTAAAAGGAAAAAAATGGTATGTCTCAGTGACGATTTTCTGTTGACGCTCTCATCACAGATTACAGTTGCGGATTGCTGTTCCTATTTTACTTGGCCACCTCAAATGATTCACCATTTGATGACTCTAGCTGTCATAAGATACCAATCAAAGAAGTTCATTCTGTGACAAACAATCTCAGTTCATGGACACTTCATTGGCCAAGACATATATAGCTGGTGAGTCCTCTATTGCATGGAATGGAAGTAACTAGCACTGACATGAAAGATGTTCATAAATGAAGGTTTCAAAGAGAAGGAGAAAAAAACTCGCACAAAATTTCAAAAGAACAAATAAATTGGCTTAGACTAAGAGAGATGAACCAACCCAAGCAGATATCATACATAGGCATGAGCCAGCTGGATGTCAAAAATTTCAAGCCTCCCAATAATAAAGGAGAAGAATTTCAAATGCCTCAAGCCTGAAAGGTACAGCTGAATACAAGAAGATAGAGAGTGAACCTTTTTTCTAGCTATTTCCCAGGTAGAACGTGTACAAGTTCCATAGAGTAGACATACTAAAACTTCAAAATCTAACCTAAAGTGCATATATCACCAATTGAATCAGGAACCTCAATAAAAAAAAATAAAAAACTTGGGGACAGTAGGTTAGGGGACAAGGTGCCAAGTTTATGAAAAGAGCAATCCAGGAAACGAGATTCCCACTAAGGAGGGGTTTGCATGGGGAGGTCAGATGGTTCTTAGTAAAAAACTAAGGGCAAAATTCAAATCAAGACGTAAATCTACAATTGTAAGTAAAGATATTTGGTATACTAAGGAACTGTGCTTTGTGCTGAGAATTGGGTTTTGATGTGAGACTATTGTCTTACCCACAATAGGTTTATAGAGGCATACTATCAGAGGGCCAGGATGTTGCAGTTAATTAAGCACATAATGATCTTTCTTGTTTACAAGCTACGTTACAATTGGAACCTCTCAGAGGGGCTGTTTGGTGCATTATCATCTTCATCATGAACTTTCACCTTTGTTATTATTATTATTATTATTTTTGGTGTTTTTTCCATTTATTTTATAGGGAGTAATGAGCAGGTTAATTAAAATAGGTAAAGGAAAAAATTCTGTCTTGTGATATTAAGGTAGATTGATCATCCTCACATCTAGTACTTTTCTAATTTGTAGTAAAATTCGAACACCATCATTTTACTATATCTATTTTCTCCTCGACTCCTGGCAGCCATCACTTTCTTAAATCTGTCAACTTTCAAGGCAAATTGTTAGACTTTGGGTTATCGAAAGCAATTAGCATAGGCCAGTCATGTGTGAACATTATGGTTATATGGATCAACGTTTACAGTTTCGGAATAGTTCTAATGGGGATCGTGTAGGAATCGGATAAATATTATGAATTAATTTTGAGAGTTATTTGAAAACTTTTAAGTAATTTCTTTTAACTTTTGAGAGTTTATTTGTTATTATTTATTTATTTTAGGGTTTTGGTTTTCCTATATAAAGGGATGCATGTAAGGATTTTATTTAGACTTGACTTATTGAATATATGCCTAGATCTCCTTGTTCCCTTCCTCTCTCTTCTATTTCTCATCCCCTTAATTCTATTCTTCACTTCTCATCTCCTTTGATTCTTCTATTCTCATCCCTATTATCTTTTTCTTAATCTACATTAAAAATCAAGCTAATACGATCTACATCAATTGGTATCAGAGTTATTACGATCTACATCAAGTTCTTTTACAACTTTTATCAGGCCACAGGGATTATTAGGCCAAATCTGAAGAGACCAAAGCTGTTGGATAAAATGGTGAGAAACAAATTCTGTTTTATGTTTCCATTCTTTCAAAAAATTCAACCATCAATTTTTCATAAATTCTCTTATGTAATTCTCTATCTCATGCAAAACTTCTCATAGAGAAGAAGGGGGGGGGGGGGG